AAGGAAGGAAGGAAGGAAGGAAGGAAGGAAGGAAGGAAGGAAGGAAGGAAGGAAGGAAATGCTTGTATGGAGTCATCAGTTCTGAAATGGTAGAAATGGTTTGATTTTCATGGATCCAGGATTGCCTTCTAATGGTCAAAGAGACAGATACTGCAGCAACTATATTGCCAATCCCTAAATTAATGTCTCTCTCTCTCTCAGCCCAATCTCCTCACAGGATTGTTGTCGTAGGAAAAAATAGGAGGAGGGAGCTGTATGTATGCCACACTGAGCTCCTGAACAGGCAGAATATCATTCTAATAATTATTTTGCACAACTGGAAAAAAACTATATACTGCAGCCTTGAGATCATACTTTGGTGCTGGACTAGAAGCAATTGCCAGACACCACCTACCATTTTCAGCAAAGTTATGGATAACTTGAAAACTGTTATTACAAAAAGAGAAAGACAATTATTTTATTTTATTTCATCCATCCACAAGGTCTGGCTTATGGGTCTTGTACATTTTCATAAAAGATGGCTTATAAGAGGAAATGATTAACTGTATATTATTTCCTCAAAAACAGCATTTCTGGTCATTAACAGCTGCTACAATAAATTGCAGTGCCATACAATCTAAATACCATTTAATATTTTTGAACTCTTTCCATTCTGTTTTTTTTTTATTAAAGTATTATGGTCATAAAGTTCCTGAGGCTTACTTAGATGTTCTGACACCACACCTAGCCCTTGTTTATTGTACAGTGCCTTCTCAATTTTAAAAGATTTTTTTAAAGATAAATAAATAATTCCCCAGCTCTGAAGGATATAATGGGTCATGAACTCTGCTCTCAATGTTTTGTGTACTTATTTAATGCTTAAATAGCATTTTTTTTTAATGCCTCCCTTTCAAGAAAAGAATATAATAGGAATGAAATCATGAATTTCTCATGCCTTCATGTTGGGGCAAAAAAATTAGAAGGTCCTGGGTTACCTTTTGAGTAGTTCCTTTAATATCATGGAAAGGCTGACAATTATACATTAGACATAACAGACAAGCCTTTCTTTTCAAAAGAGAAGGGGAAAGTCAGTACCCCATTTACTCCTTAGATCCAACCCTAGGACTGGAGCATCCACACTGCTTTGATCCAGATGGTAAGAGTCTTTTAGAAAAGACCCTTTTCTCTGAATCAGAGTGAATCAGACTGCTTCAACTCACTTTTTCAGTTGGAAGCAGAGTTTCAAGTTAGATTAAAGCCAGTGTGCACACCCCTTCATTGTTTAGGATGGGTAACAATCAAGAATGTTACTTCTACAAACGTAATTAAATTACATATGTGGCAGCTCATGGCTGACATGAGTAACATAAATCCTAGATTTATCTTATCCTAGACATGAGGTAAGTAATATAAATCCTAGATTTTATTTGGTGGGAGACCTCCATGGTATACTAGTCAGTACCTAGTACAGAAGTTGAAAAACACCCCCTAAGAAGTCAGTGGCAAGCCACCTCTGGGTTTTTTATGAAGTCACCAAGACAAAAGTAACAAAGTTACTTGCCTTCTAAGAGAAATTTACTTTTTTAAAAGAAATGTACTCACTAGCACACATGTTTTCCAAGTCCAATGCACGTTATTGTCACAATTCACCAAGCAATTCACCAAGCTCCTTCACAACATCTAGATTTGTTTTTGTTTTCAAACCACATACCCTGGATAAGCTAGTTCCCTTCCACATACAGATGTTCTCCTGTTTGTGTCTTTCTGAATGCATACTGCTATCTTGTAGTAATGTTTAAATTGTTCCTTTTCTTATTGCTTTTTGCAGATAATCCAAGTGGAACTGGGCTTGAAGAAAAGATTATCTATGGCGTAGAGAACAGCAGTACTTTCCTAGAGTGCAGTCCAAAATCTCAACGTGCTCTAGTCTACTGGCAGTTTCAGAAGCAAAATGATGAGCGAAAAGAAGAGGTAAGGGTCCACAGCAGACACCCAAGGTTTATGTCCCCCAGTCCCTTAATTCTGATAGGTATCATCATCATCATCATCGCTTATTTCATTATGTTCTTCATCTGAGAATTTCAGATTAGCCTGAGACCAGTTTGTCTTGCATCGTGTGAGGACAACAATAAAAAATGCTCATTCCATTTTACCATCCAGTGGAAAGTTCTCCTTGGGAACAAGAAGCACTCCTGAGCTGTGTGTGATAGAAGTGGCTCAACAATGAGCTCTGGAATCTCCCCTCCTCCCCTTCAATAGTTACCTACAGAATATGGTTATACTTTGCATGTTTCCAGGTGCTCAGGGGGATTAGTAAGAATGTAGACCACTGAGTAGCCTGGAAGGTCACTTCATCACCTCATTTTTAAAAGAGCAATCTTTTCAAAGCAGGCTAGACAGCTTCACCTGAACTGGGAAAGTAGGGGGAGGTAAAAAGAAAGAAAAAAGTAATTGAAAAAGGCAGTAAAACCATATTTTATATGAAGGATCCATAGTTCATTCATTCCTTGGCAATAGCTAGGCATTTTGTAAGACTATATTTCTGAAGTGTTCTCTGATTTATTTTTTAAAGCTTGGAAAGAATAGATTAGACTTCTGTATCCTCTGTATGTGTTGGGCTATGTTTCCATCATCCATAACCATTCCATGTTGACTAGAGATGAAAATGTGGTCTAGTGAATCTGGGTGGCACCAAACTGGGGAAGATTAACGCAGATCTTGAAAAGGCTTGTAGTTTTGTTCTGAAACTATAAGGAAAAGATTGATTAAATGTATTTTTATCTAAAAATATAATACAATGTAGTAATTCAAATACATAACTATATTGACATTTTTTAAAGATTGATTTACATGTCTCCTTACCAATTTTTGCTTATGGAACAATGGGAATAAAAGGGAATAGCAATAGTGTTTTGCAGTGTAACTTTCTAATGTGTGGACTTAACTAATTCTCATCACTTTTTCCCCCTTCTTTTATAATTTTGTGGGGTTTGTTTGTTTCTTTTGTATATAGTTTAAAAAAGAAAGAATTCTCAGCAATAGCTGTGCTCACTAGGGAATTCTGCGAGTTGAAGTCCATAGACCTGGAATTTGTCCAGTTTGGAAAACACTGGAATGGAAGATTGCTAATAAACCCCAGTTTCCTTGCTTTCTTCCATTGCTTCAAGTACCACAGTCACTCAAACTGATTACTGTTGGCTATTGACTATGGTATAGAGAGATACATACAGAAGATCAAAGATGGCCCTCAGTTTAGGCCAGAGTATACCGGCTTCTGTCCCTTCTTACAGATATCCTGTGCTCTGACTGAATATAGAGGAGAGGAGAAACTTACATATATTTATTATATTATTATTTGTTTGTTTGTTTGATGCAAATGTTTTTAGTTTCTTTCCATATGAAAGATGAATGTTGTAACATACAATAGATTACATGAGATAGTTCAGTAATCCTGATCATTTATGGAAACTTGTATATCTATGCTATGCAGAGGAGCGGAGTCATCACAGTGATGATATTAATGAGCTTCGTTTATTTATTGAGTGTTTAAACTTATCCAGGATTTCTCACACTACTATGCAATCACTTTCCAGCACCATTCTTCCCTACTCCTACTCCTACTCCTACTCCTACTCCTCCTACTCCTCCTACTCCTCCTACTCCTCCTACTCCACCCTCTTCTTCTTTTCAAAATACTCTGTTAAATAGCCTAGGCTGATAGAAAGTCTAATCCAACAAGATATCATGACTGAACAAGATTTCAAACTCTGGTTTCCCTGATACCCTTTTCATTAGAACAGAACTGGAGTTCATTGCTTAAACAGAAACTTTTTTCTTCCATCACAGATCAAAGTAGATGATCGTTTAATCCGGACAGAGCAAGGTCTTCTGCTACGGAGCTTGCAGCGGAAGGATTCAGGACTTTACTTCTGTTATGCTGTGGAGCATGGCTTCATGCAAACGCTCCTCAAGGTGACCTTGGAGATCATAGATACAGAACATCTTGAAGAACTTCTTCATAAAGAAGAAGAGGGTGAGAGTTCCAAGATCAAAGAGGCTTCCAACAGCATGACTCCCATCCAAAAAGTATGGTATAGAGACTTCATGCAGCTCATCAATCATCCCAACCTAAATACAATGGATGAATTCTGTGAGCAGGTGTGGAAACGGGACCGCAAACAACGCCGACAAAGACCTGCTAATGCCCAAGTGAACACAAACAAGTGGAAGCATCTACAAGAAAATAAGAAAGGTAGGAATCGAAGGACCCATGAGTTTGAGAGGGCACCACGAAGTGTCTGAGCGACAATTACCTCCAAAAACCTTCTCTCCAAGTAGAAACTTGCATAACTGGAAATGAGATGCAATATAGATGAACGCTTTCTATGGCATTTATGTGGATGTTTACAAAGAGCTGGGAAACTTAAATGATTTCCACTCAATTGAAAATGTACCCAGTTTGCTGAAAGGTTTCCCATTGGGCTTGTCTCATTGATCCCTGACATTTCTGGAACATAAGTTCACTCTGAAACTAATATATTGTTTCATGGTTCTGCAATGAGATGAACTTGACATTTCCCTTTGGACTGAAGTAGAGGAGTGTCATCTGTCATTCTGCCATTTTGAAAAGAATTAAGAGGGGAGGAGAAAAAAAACTGCTCTCATGAGCTCTGTGACTTTTCTTGAACTTAATAAAAAACTGCATGGATTTTGGAAAGCTGATGAATGGAACCTTCACATTTGGTTGTATGCAAGACTTTTACACCCTTTTGGCCTACTAGTTCTCTTGTTTATATATGTACTGGAAGAATGAAATTAATACTGTATGCAATTACTTATTAGAGTCATATGGACATCAACCATTAATTATCTGAAGCCGTGGCAACAGCAGATGGATTACTCTGACCCTACTACTGATGACTTCCTTAACATTTGACCTAAAGATGTATTTTATTAAACAACTATTTAAATATACCACAACCAATATGCAGTCAAAGATAGTTCTTTTGGGGAGGGGGGGGGGAGATAGAATAGGCTTTTTGTCTGATAATATTCTGATATTCTAATTGTTATTTTATTTTTTTTAAAAGCTCCCAGTTTTCTGTTGCTCCGTTTTAATTCTTTGTTTATGAAATTGATTCAAACAATAAGCAAACTCAGCTAAACTGCAGGTGATTTATATCATAAGTAACTTTTATCTAACTTCTTAGCAGACCTATTCTGGCAAGGGTTTTTATCTCATGGACTTATTTCTCTTTCCTTGTTTCTTCCATGTTCAGTATGAGCGCCTTCATCTTATCTTATGCTTTGATACAAAGAGAAACAGATTGAAACAATGAAGGGAAACTCAAATGATTTAAGCTGTATATTTTCTTTTTAATTTTGAAAGACTGTGAATAGCATTAAAATATTTCTTCTGCTCATGATCTTATTATATGGATGGCAAAACTCTCACAGCAGTGATTTTCAGATTGTCTAGAGAAACATATTCCTCAATTGATAGAACACCAGACCTGCTTGTCTACATGCAGGCAATATTATGTCATATTTGTGATATGACACAAGTCCAAGTTCATGCATTGAAATTTGATCTAAAATAATAATTGTACATGGGACACATCCCATATCTTGTGATATAACATGGATTCAAGGGTGAATTCCCTGAAGATTGAAAATCTGAAAACCACTGAGTTATCAAAACTAGGATCCCAGTCCAAGGTACCCTAAGAAGGGTAAAGCAACACATGCAGTCATATCTACCCAGATATATGATATGTAATGCACTGACTTGTAGTAAAGTAGGTCTATATGAGATTAGAAACATAAACTCCATGCATTATTTCACTGCTAGATGCAACGTTTCTTCTCTCTATACCATAGGTACATCATGACTAATAAAAGTTCCACTGATTTCAGTAGATCCATCCAAATTATGCTCAGTCTAGATTGAAACAAGTATACTTTTTTGTCCTGGACAGTTTTTGGATCCTCCAAATATGTGTTCCCAGAATTTCATACATTTTAAATATAAAAAGCATCTATATTAATGCTTGAGCTTGCAAATTTATTGGGATTATTTAAACTGTACTCAGTATTTCAAAAGTACTAAGATTTTGCCCTGAGTTTCTCATGATAATAAATGACCTCTACCAACAGATTTTGAACAGGAGGGCTAACTTTTACACATCTTAATGTATCTTCTAGTAATTAAGCTTTAAGGGGAAAAAAACAAAATGCACCATATTTTTTATTCTTCAGCAGGCATTCTATGTTACAGTGATTAAATCGGAATGTGAATATTATATATTTTGTGTGTGTGTGTGTGTGTACACAACTATACTGCAGTCCTAACCTAACCGCATTTATTTTGGCAGAGTTGCAGTGAACTTAGTGGACCTTACTTTTGATTAAACATGCTTAGAAGTGTGTCCCAGTAGCATATTCAAGCAGGCAGATATTGATTGCGTGGATGAAATATTCTGAGTTCACCCATCACACTAAGTCATGGTTTTAATGATGGTTTGTTATATAAACCAAAGGCTGAGTGCACACATCAAGCCAAGCAAAACTAAGGAAACTTAATTATGCCTTAGCTCAGTGTTTGAAATTAGCTATAGTTCTCTCTACAGGTAGCTTGTAATTCATGCACTCTGCAAACCAGCAACCTGAGCACCTCTGTAACTGTTTAATGTGTGTATCCACTGAAAAACTGCTATCTCACTCAGTGGGTATCTGTTCCACTCCTTGCACACAAAATGCCAAAGATACAGTTATGTCAACATGTGTACCCTATTCCTATATAACATATTTATGGAAAATGAGGTAAAATAATGATGCATGTGAACTTACTGTACAGCTAGAAACAACTGAGAAACTGTAACATGAGTCTTAACAAAGTCTTCTGCCTGCTTGAAGAATCACATTCCTAATATGAATATCTAAATTTCATTTCTTTCCTTAGATGTCTACTTGGGTGTCAGGTATATGGAACACTTCCTTGCCTTCCCATATTTTGCTACACTGAGGTCAGGCTCTCCTTCCCCACTTTACACTGTTCCATAACCAAGGAAAGAGATCCTTTCATGAGACTCCCTTCCCACTATGCACAAGGACATTGGGGGAGTCAGGATCTATATGATCTTCCCCAGACACTTGGTTTTCATTAAGGGAAAAGCATTGCATGGATCTAGCTCCCCCTTAGAGACACACACAAACACATTCTTCGATCCACAGTTCACACAGTACCTTGCCCACCCCATTGGAAGGAATTTCCCTTTACTAGAGAAATATAATCCTCAGCTGGCTGAACTGAATGTACTGGTCCAGTGGCAAGTGATCTTGGGAAAAAATGTTCAAATGTACTAACATTTGATTCACCAGATATAATGTTATTAAACAGTCTGTCTCCATCAGTTGGATATTATGGCCATGCCTAGTAATAGTTCATATATTCATAATGCTGTAAATATAAATGTGTTATGATTCATAACACTGGAAATACAATCCAATGTTACATGTCACAGTGCCAGACAATCCTATCCTAATAATATATTTGAGTAAATCAGGATTGTAAATAACTTTATAAGCCACCCAGAGTCATGGCAGTGAGATAGGTGGCATATAAATTTAATAAATAAATACAAACAGGTAGTCCTTGTTTAGCGACCACTGGGTCTGGGACTGGCAACTTGGTCATTAAGTGAAGCAGTCACTAAGTGAAACCGTGACGGTGCTTGTGATCTCACCCCAGCTTTCCTTTGCTTTATAGACCTGCAAAGGTCATAAATGCGAGGACTGGTCATAAAATACTCTAATTCAGGTGCAGGTATCTTGGTACTTTTCAGATATTTTGAATATAATTCTCATAAGCCCAGGTAGCATGACAGGGATGCTGATAGTTATCATTGAAATTATGGGATGTCATATTGCAGGCCTACCTCCTTTCAGATCTGAAGATGGAAATGAGAGTATTCTCCTAAAATGAAGAGGTAGCAGGGTGATCACGGTGCTACAGAAGCTTTTCCCTTGAACTCCTCCACAGATCCTTTCCATAATTAGTTATTGTGGTTATGATAGCAGTATTTCTCAAAGCGCTGACATAAAGCCAGCATACAAGGGAAGCTGGAGAGACTCAAAGGTGCTATTATACAGTTCTCATTGCCCCAAATATGCCATTTCAACATACATTTTATTACAAACATAAAAACACTACCAAAAAAAAGTATATAACAAAATTTGCAGCTGATCAATAAGGATAATCTTTTCTGCAAGAATAGACAAAAGGAAACAGTAAAAACTATAACAAATATGAACAACTGTATAAATGCAATAACATAAATGTAAAGTCAAAAAAGCTACAGAAACTAGAGAGATAAAAAAATACAGAGTACAAAAAGTAACTGGTCAGTTTAAATTTAGGAAATCACATTAGATTACTATAAAGCAAATCATTTTAATTAGCATCCCCATCTAGACTACTGGAGCTTTGTTTCGAGTGTTGCAGAATCAGTAAAGTTCACTTAATTCATGCTGGGGTTTTACTGGGAAGAGGAGGCATTTATATTTCCTGTGTACTGTATTTGTCCAATGAGCATCCTAGACCGAAAGCCCATTACTCAAGTCAGCACTGAGACTGTTTAAGACTATTGTTGTTAAAGTGTGGCCACTTATTGACCTATGTGCTTCTGAAGTTGTTTGAAAAGAAATAACAGCAAAATGCAGTGTTTCCAAATTGGCTAAACCAGACATCCTCGTATACTGGCTCAGTCCATTTAAATTCTATTAAAATGATTTAAAGAAAATGCGTATAATCTCCTGGAAATTAACTTTGTGAATCATCTAATTCAAATCTGTATTACAGACATTAAACTTAGGCAAAGAGGGATCTTCTATCTTCCATAGTCTTCCTAAAAGTTCTTTGCTAGCCTCAACTTAGTCTCTGATTTTTCATTTCTGATTTTTGGCTGGCATTTCTGCCATTTCCTTATACTTTCTTAAAGACTTCTAACTTCTTTTCATTTACTTTTCAAGCTGTCAGAGTGCTATTTGTGTGGCCACATTAGTCTTCAGAGATTCCTGAATCTTTCCATTGTACTGAAATAGCAGAGCGTTCTGCCACTGACATTAATTCATCTGGACTTTGTTGGGTTTTTTAAAAAAACATATACACATACATTCTTTCTATCCAAACTGAAACTTCACTGTTGTAATTCTTAGCATACCTAATACTTAAAATATCATTATGCTTAGGGTTCTATTAATATTCTAACATACCCAGATGAATGGGAACATTAATTCCTTCCAATTTTTTTACAGTGATTTCATCATTCAATGTAATTTCTAAGAATTATAAATTCTGTATTTTTAATTTTAATTGAATTGAACACTATATTACTGCTATTTCCTAGATTTTCCAGCAGAGGCATGAGCACAGCATAAAAAAAAAAAACATGGTGGGTTGAGAGTTTGATAGGTTGTCACATCTTCATTGGCACTCATATCCTCCAAAATTGACTGCTTTATTCATTCATGCATTCATGCATTCATGCATTTATATAGCCACCCAACTCAGATTCTGTGACTTTGGGTGGCATATAAAACCCATAAATAATTAATACAAAATAACATAACACATTAAAACATACAAAACAATGAAATGGTGAACAGAGCTGAAGGCTTCTGCAACTCATTCACTGCATTGGCTATGCTCTCAGGTTCAGAGCAAAGGCTGAGCCCTTGCCAGATGGGTTTTCTTGATTATAGATTGCTTTGGGAGCCATTCATGTTTATTTTTCATGTTTTGTATTTTTTTTTTTTACTTTAATTGTAAGCTGCCCAGAGTTGGTGACCTATAAATTAAATTAAATTAAATTAAATTAAATTAAATTAAATTAAATTAAATAAGAAACTCCACTCAACCTGACCCCAAACCCAGGGGAAGAGCCAGGTCTTAACTGCCTTCCTAAAGGTCTGCAGGTTTCGGG